TGTGTCCGAACTTTGCTTCTTGTAGCCTTGCGGCTCTCACTCGACGCTACTTCGCGAAAACGTAGACAGCCACGTTTGACGGAGCCACGAGAGGGTCTGCACGTGATGTCGGATAAGGTGGGCGGCCTATAGGTGCGGGTCAGGGCGCCGGCCCTACCGCCCGCCCCCCCACCCCGCCCCCCGTGCCTTGGACGCAAAAGGTCTATTCGTTGGCTATCGTTGGCTCTTGCTTTATAGCGGAAGGCGCGCTATTGGATCGCGTTCTGACAGAAGAGCGTGGTATTCGGTTGATGGGCAGGGGGGCGGGGTACACGTGGGCAATGGGTTTCAGAGCGCGATATATCCGGTTGACGGGGAGGGTGTGAAGAGCGGGCCGATTGATGGCTCTGAACACCTTCTGCGGAGCCACGCCCTCCGCCACGCCCTCCGCCACGCCCTCCGCCACGCCCTCCGCCATGCCTCCGCGCCCTTTTAACGTCCTCCACGCGCGTTGCGTCTTGTCTGCAGGCTTGTTGCATCTATTCTCTAATTGAGAACAAACCTGTTTAAAAGGCACGCACGTGCAGCATAGCCAGCATAGGCTGTAAGTTGATCTGTACGGGCATGATGGATACGTTGGGCTTGTGCTCTTGGTAACTATAAAGTCCATGGCGTTCATTGGGGGGAAGGGATGCCGCGTGGACCTCGTCAACTTCCTGAGTCCTCTGCGTTCCTTGGGGTTTCAGGTTCCTCAGGCCAAACCGGTCAACTTTCCCGCGTCGAGCAAAATCGTGTTCGCAGCATCAACAACCACAAGTTCAGACGTGCTAGATCGTTTCCTTGCATGCACATGGCTGTTTCAAGAATGGACAGTGCTTCTCAAGGTGCTCCTCGTCCATGCTCGTCTTTTTCTGTTTCGGCATTTTAATTTTCATTCGCCAGCCGGCAGCCTGGAGCAGTTGCAGCCGGCGCGTGAGCACAGCGCGGCCCTCCGCTCCGGGTTGCGCTCCGGGACTCGCTCCTGGCCGACTCCTCTTTGGACCGCTGCGGCCCCCCAGCACCTTTTGACTTGCGTGGTGGAGGGTGGCGAGGTACGAGTTGGCAGCGGCAGCTCGGCAGAGCCGTCAGAGCTTCTGTGTGCCACGTGTTGCACGAGGCGACTACACCCCACGCCTCGCACATGCCTGCGCTCCCGCCCAGCGCCCCAGTCGTGGACACCCACGTCGTCCACTGGCAAAACCTTGAAGCAACTGCAGGGGCGTTCCCTGCAGAAACCCGGGTTTCGCGCTGCACCGAGTGGTGGCTCTGCCACTATTGGCCGGGGCCCCGTCGTAGGAACCCGCGCCATAACAAATTGCGCTGAGTCAACGAAAGCGGTATACCAGGCCAGCGAGGCCGTAAGAGGTTCTCACGTACAAACTGTCGTGCAAGCAGGCCCCGTCTGCAGGAGCTAAAGAGGACTGGGACAACAGCGCTAGTATCTGTTCCTGGGCTCCTGCACGGGCACCCCCTCAACGTGCGTCGAATGGCGAGCAACCATCCAGGCCCACCTCACGACACCCGCCAGTCGCCGCCGTGCCCTCCACGCACTGGTGCAAATGGGTCTCCTCCAGCCCAGCGGACCCCGTTCGCATCACCTCCCGAGCTCGTGAGACCACCCATGCAGGTACCGGCTTCGCCGGCGTCGCTACCCGCTCCAGCCCGTGCGCCGCTCGTTTGGGAGGATGGTAGGCGAGCCGTGGTTGTTCGTGCCGCTTCCCGTTCTCCACGTTCTCCACGCCCTCACAGAAGCCGCTACACAGGCTCAGGGCCATGCCGTGGCCGGGCTGCGCCTTGGCGAGATGGAGGCGCGTTGCAACGGGTGCTTTCGGCGCAGCCATCCACCCGTCATCGGATCGAGTGGGGGCGCTGGACGATCGAGCTCGCAGCCGAGACGGCTCTTTGTTAGCACGCTGCAGGATGCGCCGCCTTTCATGTGAGGGGAGCGCCTCCTTTCCTGCTTGCTGCGGTCCGTGGAGCCTTCGTGAAGGCGCTACGACGTTTGACCGGGGCGCTCGCTCACCCAGCACACGCACTCGGATTTTGTACTTTCGCGACCGAGCGCTGCTTCCGTCGTTGCCGCCGTTTTTTTTTTGTCACGCTTTTTTCCTCCAGCACCTTCTTGACAAGTCCCCGACCCCGGCGGTCCCGGCGTAGGGCCGCAGTGGCATGTGGCTATGCTGCTCATGCATCCGCCAGATCCAGGACGTGATCCGCCCGGCCCCCCCGCCTGTGGTTGGGCCGACGCTAAAGGCGGCAAGGGCCGTGCCCGCCACCGCCTGCTGGCCCGGCAGCACGTCCCACCAGCTCCCCGACCATCTCGCCGCGGCGGTTGTCCGGACGCATGCTGGGCACGCAGCCGGACGAGATCTTGCACGGGGGTGGGGGGAGTGGGCCCCCTCGGGCCAGCTTTGGGTAGGCAGCGCGTTTGTAGCGCTCAGCAACCATCAGCATGGCCCCGTCCACATCTTCGGCACATGGCTGCGGATGGGCTGTGCGTGCGAGCGGGGACACTGCCGTCGCGTCGCAACATAAGGCGCTGCGTGCGCTGCCGTCGGGCGTGGTTCCGTACACGTCGAGATCAGAGCGGCGACGGTTCTCGGGCCGCACCCACAGAGTTGTCGTGTGGCCCAACCACTGCTAGCAGCATGGACTGCGGGCGAAAAGTACGGGAATGGTCGTGAGCCAACTTTGGGAGGCCCAAAACCTTCATTCTCAGGCCTTTCTGCCAAAACCTCAAGTCTCAGGCTTTTTGTCACTCCCATGCGGGCGGGCGGGGGGGGGGGGCGGCGGGGCCAAAACCTCCATTCTCAGGCCATTTTGTCACTCCCCATGCGGGCCTGGGGGGGTGGGGGAGGGGCGCACGGGCAGTGACAGAAAGACCCTGGTTTTTGGAGCTTTGGGAGGCCCAAAACCGCCATTCTCAGGCATTTGTGTCACTCCCATGCAGGCCTGGGGGGGGGGGGGGCGCACAGGCACTGACTTTTTGTCACTACCATGCGGGCCTGGGGGGGGGGCACGGGCAGCGACAGAAAGACACTGGCTTTGGAGCCTTGGGCTACGTTTTAGGGTTAGTTGAAGGGTCGCAGGCATTGTGGCTATCATGCACTGAGGCACAAATCCTTATCATGGTTACGTGATTCCTTGTTGTAGTTAAAAAAGGTTCTTTATTGCGGTGACGACCCCGCCTCCAGGTAGCGGCAAAATTGCACGCGCGTAATGTTGGAGCCTGGAGTCGACTTGGCCTGTGCTTTATTGTTGCTTCTACACTGTCTTCGTGTTGTCACGTAGCAAAGCGACGGCAGTGCTGATCAGGTGACATCCTTGCGGCGACTGCAATGGGTTGATACCTCATGCCGTGCAATCTAGGATCGTCGTATTGCTTTGCCGTGTTGCTAAGGCTATCTGCAAGATTGTCGGGCGCATGGTTTCATATGTTTGCATTTTGAAGAATTTTGATCAGATCGGTAGCATCACAGCAAGGGATAGTTATGCTGGGTAGCGCGATTGGGAGCCGTGCGTTCATCGCGGACAAGCTGGCGCAAAAGTTGTTTGAGCACGGCCACCTGCTTCAGCGAATCCCGCACGTCCCTTACTTGCAGAGTGCGTGGTTGCTGCTCCTCTACTGCGCCGCGCCCCTTTGCGTTTGCTTGCTCCGGACCCTTGCCCCAGCTGACACGGCGGACTTCGCAGCCCAGCATGACGCCGCATCCCTGCACGATCTCCACCTCGATCTGCCAGCTGCGGACGGGCGCAGAATCGAGGACGTCGCCAACAACCTTCCGATCTCGCAAGGTGCCAGATCGCGCTTGACACCTCGATCGTAGGCCTTCTGAGTCAGGCCGTCGACCGCAAGCTGCGTTCGCAATTACCCAGAACGCCCGCCGCTGGTTGAACTGGGCGGGCGTTTACAGCACCCTCACCTTCCTGCGCCTCGCGCGCGTCATGCACCATGTGCGCGGCAGCGGCCCGCCAACTTACGCAGAAGTGGCACTGGCACGATGTGTTAGGGGGACCTGACGTGCCCGGCAACGGGCAAGGAGACGGAGGAACTGTGCAGCTTCGTCGCTCCAGTGTCCGCCGAGCTCGAGCGCGAGCACGACGAGCCAACAGCGAAGTTGAGGAGCTCAGGGTAGGTCCGCTCCTTTGCTCGGCGGGCGGTGTGTGTCGTTGATGTCGTTGGTGGCGATGTGGCTGGCCCGTCGAGTCCAGAGGCGAGACCAGGGTAGTGTCAACTGCGAGCTGGACGCCGCCCCACGCAGGCAGGCCATTGGCAATGACCTCTATCGTCCCGACGTGGACACCTAGGTCGCGGAGCAGCACATTCGTAGTGACGGTTGCACCCGCCTCGCGACAGACACGAGCGGCAGCCCGTTCAAGAGGTGCGCCCCGTGCACGCAAGTGGCCTGACCGGAGGGGTCCCCGTACTCGCCCGGGCACTCCTCTTCCGTGCCGGGCCCTGTCCTTGTGACAGGGTGCGGCACAGACCCTCGCGGAGCAAGGGTTCCAGCTGCTGCGCTGGGAAGACCTCGCAACAACACCCCCGCCCCCAGCCCAAAAAGAGTGGCACCTCGCCGCATCCCGGCTAATTGATGACAACCTCGCCACCCGTCTCAATGCAAGGCTTGATCCGGCCTCGCAGGCCCTGCTGCAGTCCCAACATGGTATGGTCCGAACTCCGCTCGCGTCCTGACGGCGTCGCCCACGGCGCCAGAGCTCCGCCTGACCTCTGCAGCTTCCGAATCAGCGATGAACCTTGAGCAAAAAGGTCACCTTTGTGAGCAGTTTAAGTACTTGGCTCACGTTTGATGCCTTACATGTCATGACATCCGTGAATCAAGAATGATTGCATATGATTGCATCAGACTTGCCTTGGCAATGCCTTGGCTCAAGTGACCGGGTGAAAAAATGCTTGCTGCGTCAAAGCTGTGCTTGATTGAGCTGTGACCAACACAGGGTTATCAGCCGTAGCTGTAGGTGCCATGGCGACGGACGATGCGACATCAGGACGCATCTACATCAAAGATCTGCCAGAGACTGGTTCTGATTATGAGGGCTGGCGCTTCACGTTGAAGAGTCAAATCTTGCGTGTAGCGCCGGACCCAGTGGCAGCCATGGCTTACATCAGAGAGCTTGATGATGAAGCGGTTTCCTTTGGCGATTTGGCGTCAAACTTGTCCGTAGACATGAACAAAACAGATGTGAATGTTTTCGCAGCGGTGGTTGCCGCATGTCAGAAGGGCAAGAAAGGACCGGAGATCCTCAAGCTGATACAATCACGTGCACAGTTTGGTTGTGGTCGTCAGGCTGTCCGCATCGTTGATCAGCGGCACTTGCATGAGTCAACGCATTTAGCCACGGAGGCTAACACCAAGATCCAAGAGCTCAGTTGTTCTGGATTGTCGGAGCTTGACAGCTACATGGCATCTTTTTCGTTGCTTCGTCACCAGATGGGTTCCGGCGAGCATAAGCTCACGAATGCTGGGGGCATTGCGCTTCTGAAGCGCAAACTCAAAGACATCAAAGAACTGGATGCCACTTTTGCCGTTTTCAATGCCAGCAATTCTGTGGATTTAGACGCCTTGATCTATGCCATCAACGGTTTGATTGCACATCACTCGGAAGAGATAGAAAGGCGAAAAGCGCAGAAAAAGGCTGCAGCAGCCAAGGCCGCTGCTGCCGCGGCGGCAGGCGGCAAGTCTCAGGGAGGCAAGGGCAAGCACAAAAGCAAGAAAGGCAGTGACAAGCCGTGTGAACATTGCCACAAGCCCGGACACACAGCGCAAAAGTGCTGGTTGAATCCAAAAAGTTCCGCTTACAGGCCGGACTTCGCGGCCAAAGTCAATGGCAGCAATGCCTCTTCGTCCAATGGTGGGCCGTCTGCGCCGCCTGGTTTGGGAGCTGCATCCATTGGGGCTCGGACTGGGCCTGCAGTTCCGACAGATGTCCTCACCAAGGCGTTTTCGGAGTTCCTCACCAAGCGGTTCGGTGGTTCCGCATGGTTTGCCGATATCGGGCCGAACGCACTTCAACAGTTTGCGGGCGCAGCGTGGGCTTTGGATTCTGGGGCCAGTCAATTCTGCATCATGGGCGAAAATGCCGATGATGCCATGTGGGAAACCGTGCAAAGTGCAGACTGTGACATCGACACAGGGGCTGGGACGGCTCGGCCAACAGCAATGGTAGACGCCATGGTTCCGCATCTAGGGCGTCGCTCGGCTATGGTGATGCCGGAGTCAAAAATCAACATGGCATCGATGGGCGAAACTTGCGCTGAGATGGGGTATCATTTTTACTGGCCGGCGTGGTCGGAACAGCCGCATTTCTGGCGTGATGGTGGTTCCAACGAGGTGCCGCTCACCATGGTCAATCGAGTCCCATTCTTGTTAAGCGCTGTCGATGCTGGTCCTGCAAGCATGCACGGGGATGTGAGCGACACGGACTTGAACGACTTCTTCGCCAGCATGTTCCGGGAATTCTGCATGACCCTCAATGGGGCGGAACTCGCCAGTCTTTCGGTTCCCCTGGCGTTGGCAACGCAGACGCAACCCGCGGATCAACATTGTTTGGCTCACTTTCCGAAGGACCCCACTTGCGAAGTGTGCTTGCAAGCGAAGATGTGCCGCGCGCCGGCGTCCCGCAAGAAACAATCTGTGGAAGATGACAAGCAGACAGCCCAAGTGCATGGCGAACGCATTCACTGTGATCTTGTCGGCCCCACGCGCCCCAGCATCAATGACGAGGTGTATGCCATGATTACTCATGATGATGCTACGGGGTACCCTGCCGCACGTGCCTTGCGCACCAAGCAGGCCTCCGAAGCCGCTGCCGCTTTCGACGACATGTATGGAAGCCAGTCGGTGTCAGCAGTCCGGACAGACAATGGTGGTGAATTCCAAGGCGAGTTTGCTGCCAAGCTCAAAGAACGGAAGGTCAGACATGAACGCTCCTTGCCGCGTCGGCCGCAAACCAACTCTCGTGCTGAGCGTTTCCACCGCACAGTTGCAGAGGGCATGGCTTGCCTATTTGTTGCGTCTGGTGTGCCCTATGTTTTTTGGACTTTCTGTCTCATGGCTTTCCTCTTTGTCTACGCGCGCAGCCCTGGTGCCAATGGAGCCGAGTCTCCTTACCAGCTCCGCTTCAATCGCTCCTACGATTTGAGCAAATTGCGTCCCTTCGGCTCCGCTTGCTACTATCTTTCTGAGGAGCATGACAAGTTTGCATCTCGTGGACGGCTTGGTGTTGTGTTGGGTTATAGCCGGCTGCAGTCGTATTACGTCTTGGATTTCGAGCACTACGTCGAAACAAAGGGCGAAGCACGGATTGTACACACACGTGATGTGCGCTTTCCGCCTCAGTTGCGCTGGCCATTTCATGAGCTGGGCATGGACAACCCTGATGCAGCGCACTGGGCCCACCGTTTGTTCGAACCGGAGGTGTTGCAGCCCACGCCCGTTGCTGGCGATGACGGCCGTTGCGTACTTTGCGGACTGTGGGCCACGGATGCAGAGGTCCATTGTCGGGGATGTTTGCTTGGTGGTGGTCGTCGTCGGCATGTGGATGGTCCCGGCTGCCTTCGTGCTCGGTGTGGTGGTCATTCATTTCTTGACGTTCAGCACGCGGCCTCCAACGAGACAAGCGTGGACTACTCCCTGAGCTTGCCCGGCAGCCGTGATGGGGGCGTCATCGACTCCTCCAGCTCCAGATCTCCGATGTCGCATGACATACGCGATGATGCTGATGACGATGATATGATTCCACCCCCTGACGATGAAGGTGATGGACGTCATCATTCGGATGCCCCGCTTCGCCGACCTCGCTGGCGGGTAGACTTGTTCACGGACGCGCAGGCGCCTCCTCGGCACAACTACGGCCCTCAGTTCGATGACAGCATGGATAGTGGTCTTGTACCGCCTCGCCCTGATTTGGCCCCATCGACTCCGATGTCAGATCGACGCGCAGACGATGTCACATCTTCATCTGGGCGATCACGGTCTCGCCGCGGGTCGCATCCATCGGATGCAGATTCGGAACGTGCTTCTCAAGGCCCAACTGTCGCACAAAACCCGGCGTCTCCAGCACACATTGGATCACATCCATCCGATGCTGACTCGGAACGATCCAGGCCAACTTACAACAATCACAGTCGGACGAGCACCGAATTACGGCCAGACGGCATACACAGTTCGGATGCTGATTCCGAGAGGTCGCAGCAGCCGAGCAATGTTCTTGACAATGGGGCCATCTCCTCCACGGTAACGTTTGAAAGTGATCGATCTGGACTCAGCACCGTCGTTCGCAGTGGGACGGTTCTCACGACGGCTGCAGCGCTCAGATTGGAACAGGAGCTGGACAAGTTGACAACTGAGCTCGGGAAAATGTTCGCTTGTGTCACCAAAATAGTCAAACGCAAGGATCCAGAGTGGGACACAAACGCCGCGCGTGCAGCCATCCGCAAGGAGGCGGCAAACCACGCATCGAAGCGGACTTGGGATTCCGAAGCATGTGAATGGGAAAGTGCTGTGGCCAAGTACGGGCCTGACGTGGAGTACGTGCAGGCAAATCTTATTTTGGGGATCAAGCACTACGAACTCGATCAGTCCCAGCACCGGTTCAAAGCTCGCATAGTTGCGCTCGGAGACAATGTGCGTGACATCTACGGCCGCCTTGTGGAGGAAGACCAATTGCACGGTCGACCCATTACACTTGAGGGATCGCGGGCGCTGGATTGCTACGCTGGTTTGCAACCCGACGGCGATTGTCAGACTGCTGACGCTGATGGTGCGTACTTGCAAGCTCGACTCAAAGGTCGTCCGAAGGTTATTTGTTTGCCGAGAGAATTTCGCACACAAGCAGAGCTGGAGATGCGATGTCCAGTTCACCTTTTGTACATGGCCATCTACGGGCTCACACGTTCAAACAGCGACTGGGAAGATCATGCTGACGAGCGGTTGTTGCTTAAGCATTGGCTGCAAGCTCGTGACATTGAGCGTCCGATCTTCAAAAAGGAATACAACGGACACATTGTGGGCATGGCCGTTTTGTGGATGATTTCAAGTTGGCGGGGCACAAACCAGTGCTACCACACGCATGGGCTGAGATTTTCGAGTGCTTCGATTTCGCAGACCCACCTCAACCCGTCAGCCGATTTGTAGGTTCCGAAGAAATACTGTCACGCGACCATGCTGATGTTGCCACGTTTCTTGTCAAGCAGGATGCTTACATCGATACCTTCACGCGGAAGTATTTGGATGAGATTGGGGCCTATAGACTTCCACGATACGACACACCAGCTGTGAAGCTCGCGGCCAGTGATGTGTCCAGCATGAATGAACCAGGTCAGTTTGCCTCAAATTGTGGGACGTACGTGGGGGCCGGATTGTGGATAGCTCGGAATAGTCGTCCTGAGATATCTTTTGCTGTCGGATGGTTAGGCCGGTACACTACAAAATGGACCAAAAGACAGGATGCGGCCTTGCATCGTCTCATGGGATATCTAGCAGCTACTCAGTCCTCCGCACTTCGTCTGGTTCTCAATCCTGCTGATGTTCAGCAACGCACTCTGAGACTAGTACTGTGGGTCGACTCTGACTGGGCGACAGATCCTGAAACCAGGCGATCGACGTCAGGAGCTGTTTTGCAACTCGTTGGGTCGCATGGCACTCGCGCGACATTTGCTTGGAGATCGCATCGACAAGGTGCAACTGCATTGTCGGCGCCAGATGCCGAAGTGACTGCTATGGCTGAAGGTCTCAAGCGCCACGGGATCTATGCACAAGATCTTTTCGAGTTTTTGTTGGGATATCGAATTCCATTAGACATCATGACCGATTCAGCAACAGGCATCGCCGCAATCGATGACGCATATGGTGTGCTCAAGTACATGAAGCGAACACAAGGCGTGCCTTTGTCATGGTTGCATGATGTCAGCATTGATCCCGACAACAACATCAAGAAAACCAGCACTGACGATAACCTCGCAGATATCATGACGAAAGCATTGGAGAAGAACAAGTTCCAGCATTTTTCACGGCTTTTGGGAGTTCACCCGCATGGTTGAGATTTGCATGGGCTTTTACAGCATGGTTGAGCATGACCTTGAGCAAGTGAATTGCCGATGATTTCGTTGTCATGATTATGCGCATGTGTTGCTTGATTTTCCGCATGATCTCATGATTGATTTCTTGATTTTCGTTGGATGCATGAACAGTGCAGATTTTCTAGGCTGTTGATTGATTTGCTTTACACAGCCAGCTTGCGAGCGGTAGCGGCCGCACAGGTCGTACCCATCATCATTTTGCAGAAGCACTCTTTTGTACAGATTTTCTTCGGTGCTGGCGTTTTCTTTTCGCAAGATTCAGCAGACGGGACAGAAGTCTGCACACTTTGATTCCATTTTCCTTTGACTGTGATGCCATGCTCGGCATGGGGGCGTTGTGTGAGCAGTTTAAGTACTTGGCTCACGTTTGATGCCTTACATGTCATGACATCCGTGAATCAAGAGTGATTGCATATGATTGCATCAGACTTGCCTTGGCAATGCCTTGGCTCAAGTGACCGGGTGAAAAAATGCTTGCTGCGTCAAAGCTGTGCTTGATTGAGCTGTGACCAACAACCTTGCCACGTGTCGCTGCCGGCGATGGCTCGATGTTTGCGGGCTCACAATGGCTGGCAGTGAGTCGGCCCAGGACCCAGTTCAAAGCACGTCTGACCCACAGATCAGCAGGTAAGGAAACCACATATTGCGCAGTGTACAAAAAACCACGGAATCACACTGACCCGCCAGGCTTGCGGCAGCGGAGCTCCAACCGGCATGCATGCACGACCTGAAACCACCGCAACAGCCGCGCGAATTGAACATCACCAAAAAGGGCCACGTTCACGACAATCAAATACAAAGCCCGAAAACACACCCCCAATTCTACGCAAAAAAGCTGAGCCATTCGCCAAGTCTCATCCAGAACCACGCATTCACCTCCCCAAAATGGTCCTTGCCATTTAGACATCAATGCCAGAAAGTAAAACGGCGCAGCCAGCTAAGCCTCTCACCACTCGATAGCACCACGCGTGAAGATTGGCCTACCAACATATGACAAAAAATCAACACGAGGACACCAAGCCGACACAAGCATCATACCACAACCACACAACAGGCGCAGCAGATAACGCAATATGTAAGCAAGCAACCGTCAGGGAGTCACGCGCTTGAAGAAAATCGGATTTGATCAAAATGCTTCAAAATGCAAACAGGTCCAGCATGGGTTCAGCAGCCCGGGCGGTTCGTCGCCCGCGCTGTTCCAAGCGAGGGAGTTGCACGCGAATGTTCGCATGCCTGAGAAGGGCCTCGTGGATCAAAAGGTCCGTATCCTGTGACGACCACTTGGCAGCCTGCCCACGCTTTGGCGTGTTGCGCTCGCTAGAGCTGTGGCACGCGTCTGCCGCTAAGCCGGGGCGATTGTTACAACTCATGTCCTCGTGCGAGCCCTCAATGAAAATCGCTGTGGCAGTGGTTGCGCCGTGCGCCAGGCCTCTTCCAGCAGCGGCACCTACGCACCCCTCAGGAAAGTTTGGAAAATGTTTGGAAACGCGCAAGCTGAACACCTTTGTCGACCAGACGCAAAAACAACAGGCAAAAAACAGCTTCCACGCGCGAGTGTTGTCAGCCTCGTTTGTCGATGCCTTGCACGCAGCATCAACGAGCTCAAATCATTTCAAGTTCAAGGCGGTGCCACACGGAACAGGCAGCACGGGTGCGCCAAAACCTCCTCGGCTGAGAGACGTCCGTCGAGTGCAGGCGGGCTTGCACTGCCGTCAATGCCGCGTTCCCCATTGGTGTACCTCGTGCGGTGTGCCTTGGGCGCTGTTCCAAGCGCGGGCCTTGCCGAGTTGCACGCGAAATTTTCGCATGCCTGAGAAGGGCCTCGTGGATCAAAAGGTGCGTGGAACAAAAAAAGTGGTTCGCCGTATGCTCTGGCGGGCCTGTGACGACCACTTGGCAGCTTGCCCACGCTCTGGCGTGTTGCGCTCGGTAAAGATGGTAAAGCTGTGGCACGCGTCTGCCGCTAAGCCGGGGCGATTGTTACATCTCATGTCCTCGTGCGAGACCTCAATGAAAATCGCTGTGGCAGTGGCTTTGCCGTGCGCCAGGCCTCTTCCAGCAGCGGCGCCCACGCACCCGTCAGGAAAGTTTGGAAAATGTTTGGAAACGCGCAAGCGGAACACTTTTGTCGACCCGCTCGCCCCCTATACGGGACGGTGGAGCAGCATGCGGGACGCAAAAGCAACAGGCACAAAACAGCTTCGGTTGCGCTACCGGGCCTCCTTGGCGAACCTTGACCCCTTCACAGCTGAGGAGATCCTAGCGCGGCCGTGCTGCCTGTTTCGGGTTCCGCCGCAGTTTTGCAAAGGTGTGTTGCGAAAGTCCCTCCATCTGGTGTTGGATTTGATAAGGTCGAGCGCTCGCGCCCCTGGCGACGTGTCTGGACCCGACTCGGTCCGGGCCTGGAAGCTTTGGTTTCTCCTCCCGCGCATGCTTTTGCATAGGCCTCCCGGCGGGGCCCGGGTCCAGAAAGCTGTGCTTTTGGCTAGGTTCCAGGCCTTCTTGCGGGGTGACTGGATCCCCTTACTACAAGATGCCTTGGCCCAACCCTCACCTCATGTTGCCACTGGCGACCGCCCTGCCGCGTCTGACGACGCACGGGCAAGGCGAGCAGTGCACCTCGCACACCTGGGTGAGTTGTCAGCCGCCCGTCAAGCGCTGACGGCTGACCCGCTCGCGCCAGCCACTGATGCCACTTTTGAGCACCTCTCTGACCCGCATCGCCGCCCCCCCGAACCGTATGGACCCCTTGACCCCGAGTTGCTCGCGTGGGAGCCGGCGTCACCTGTTGCGCTTGACCGTGCCGCGTTGCTCACTAACTTGCGCCGGGCCCGCAAAGGGGCTGCACCAGGGCCGTCAGGCTTCACTGCTGAGGTAGTACATGTAGTGTTGGATGCGGACGAGTCGATTGAGGCGTTTGCTGAGGTTGCGACCCTTGTTGCACAAGCGCGAATCCCTGCGGCTGTGATGCCGGCATTTGGTCTTGGTCGGGTTGTTGCCCTCTGCAAGCCAAACGGGGGCACCCGTGGGCTGGTTGTCGGCGAGTTGTCGCGCGCACGCTTGCTCAGCAGTTCGCCGGCGCCGTCGAAGATGCGTGTCCACATCAGTTCGCGCTTGGCAATCGTGCAGGTTTTGATGCCTTGGTGCACGCCGTGCAAGCTCGGTGCGCGCGCGATCCTAGCCTCACCCTTGTTTCTGTTGATGCGTCTGCCGCCTACGACGGCATCAGCCGTCAGGCGATTCTACAGGAACTCCGGTCCGTGCCTGCAGCAGCTGCGCTACTCCCGTTTGCTAGGCTTTGGTTGGGCCGTCCTTCGTCCTTTGTGTGGCAGCAAGGCGCCACTACTCGGCACATCCACCAAGCCGAAGGCGTTGAACAAGGGGACCCCCTCAGCCCCGCCATGTTCTGTTTTGGTTTGCAGCCTGCTCTCCGGGACCTGCAGCGCGACCTCCGGGAGGACCTCGGAGAGCGCGTCTTCGCGTATTGATGATGTCACACTGCTGGCGTCACCTCAACGTGTCCTGTATCTTGTTCGGCGCTTCGAGCACGACCTCGCCCATCACACGCGGTTGCGCCTCAACGTTGGCAAGACCGCAGTCTGGAACAGCGGTGGCGTTGCACCTGACGGCCTGCATGAGCTTTCGCCTGATGCACACGTGTGGTTTGGAGACCTAGCCCTCGAGCCGTCTGCGCGAGGAATCGTTCTCCTCGGAACCCCCTTCGGCGAGCCGGAGTTCGTTGCCAGGCACTTGCAGGCTCTCTCTGCCCGACACGAAGGCTTGCTCGCCTCCCTGCCCCAACTTGGCGACACTCAGGTCTCGTGGCTCCTGCTTCTGTACACGGCTGCCCCCCGCGCCCAGTTTGCTTTGCGCACGCTCGCCCCCTGCGACACGCGTGAGTTTGCGCTCGCGCACGATGCCCGTGTGCTCTCTGCTCTGAGTGGGTTGTTGCTTGCTGACGGGTCGGCCCCTTTGCCACCTGCTGCTACTCGTGTTGCACAGCTTGCCCTTCGGGATGGCGGCCTTGGCTTGCGCAGCGCTGCGCTGCATGCACCTGCAGCGTTCTGGGCATCCTGGGCGGACGCAGTCCCCATCCTTCGCTCGCGGGATGCGCCGCTTGCCGAGTCCTTGGTGCACGCTCTGGATGCACGCGATGCTGTTGAATGGTCACCGGTGCAGAACCTCCTGCGGGCCTCCGATGCCCTTGCTGAGGCTGGCTTCGCCGTCCCGCAGTGGGCTGCCCCTTGCTGCTGACGATGCGGACCCCGATGTCCCTCACCGAGGTTGGCAACGCCCAGCCTCGAGAGCCCGACGATCGGGACGCTGCGGAGCATCGTCGTGCCGTGGGCCCTGCCGAACTCGCGCTCCTTGACTCGCAGTCCGGCCCCTTTGCCGCCAGGTTGCTTACTGTTCGCCCTGTTGGGCGATTCAGCCGAGTCAGCGAGGACGTCGCTCAGGAGAGGCGCGTCTCCGTCAAGGTTCGCGGTGCTGGAGATGGGCAGGGACAGCAGGCTGGCAGCGAATGAGCGGGCAGCTGCGATGGACAAGAACCCAGACCATCGTCCGACGAAAGCCGCTATACACGCAGCACGTTGCGACGGAGCTGCGCCGCGCGCCCGCGCTCGCGCGAGCAAACAGATGAAGGTGGCTGCTTCGGCACTCCAGCGACCACCAACCTCCAGGCCAAGAACAACCAGCCGGCACCGATGGGCTGCAGCGAACTCAGGGTAAGTGCGCTCTTTGGCCCGGCGCGCCTCAGCCAGGGCTACGCCTGCTGTGCTGCCACGCCGGCGACGGGGCAGACCAGCGGAAGTGAGTGGGTCTGCTGCACTGGGACCGCGATCGGATGCTGAAAAAAGGGTGCGAAAAAAAAACAGCTTCCACGCGCGAGTGTTGTCAGCCTCGTTTGTCGATGCCTTGCACGCAGCATCAACGAGCTCAAATGATCTCAAGTTCAAGGTGCAAACAACGGCGCAATACGCTCTTGCAAAAGCGCGGTGCCACACGGAACAGGCAGCACGGGTGCGCCAGAACCTCCTCGGCTGAGAGACGTCCGTCGAGTGCAGGCGGGCTTGCACTGCCGTCAATGCCGCATGCTGCCCCCTAGGGGTTCCCCACCTTCTCATTGGTGTACCTCGTGCGGTGTGCCTTGGGCGCTGTTCCAAGCGCGGGCCTTGCCGAGTTGCACGCGAAATTTTCGCATGCCTGAGAAGGGTCGTGGATCAAAAGGTGCGTGGAACAAAAAAAGTGGTTCGCCGTATAGCTCTGGCGGGCCTGTGACGACCACCTGGCAGCTTGCCCACGCTCTGGCGTGTTGCGCTCGGTCAAGCTGTGGCACGCGTCTGCCGGGAAGCCGGGGCGATTGTTACAACTCATGTCCTCGTGCGAGACCTCAATGAAAATCGCTGTGGCAGTGGTTGCGCCGTGCGCCAGGCCTCTTCCAGCAGCGGCGCCCACGCACCCGTCAGGAAAGTTTGGAAAATGTTTGGAAACGCGCAAGCTGAACACCTTTGTCGACCCGCTCGCCCCCCATACGGGACGGTGGAGCAGCATGCGGGACGCAAAAACAACAGGCGGGTAAGTATGATCGCTGCCGGCACTTGGCCGGAAGCCAGTTCGCGGGCGGCATGGATCAACAGTCCGCGTCCGCGTATTGCGCGACTCGTGGCCGGTTGGCCCACACACCCTGGCCCGCCAAGTGCATGCCTTGCCCAGCTCGACGCGAGGCGCAGGAGCAAATTTCGCCACGGGACGAAGTTCTCGTGGCCGAACTTGCCGCGTTGCCCGAGGAAGCGCCGCTGAGCCTCGGGGCAGCCGGCGCCGCATGCATGGACCATGAAGGCCACGGGTCTGCTGCAGCGCAATCGGTGCTGCTCGCAGCATTCGGACGCTGACGACGGAGTCGTGGCTGCCGCCGCGGCGAACCGCGGAAACCCACGCGGCCGCGGTCGCAGCATGCGCCGCCGCGGATGCCGAGGGAGTCCCAGTGCCCGCGCCGGCACACCTCGCCTCGAGCTTCTTACCCAGCGCATACGCTCTCCAGACGCCGCCTCGCCAACTCAGAGGACTGCTGCGAAATGCCTTTCGAACGGCGTTGGAGACGACGAGTGTGACGAGTGGAAGCTCTTCATGTTGGCGCCCCGCATGCTGTTGTTCCATGCCCCAGGTCAACCCTGCGTGCCGGTTGAGGAACTGCGATGCCGCGAACACGCGTTCCTGGCGGGGCACTGGCCGGAACTGCTCCGCCAAGGCGCAGCCGCAGCAACACCAGCGTCGAGGGAGGCGGGCCGGCCTTCCGAGGATAATGGGGTAGAGCCCGAAGACGTCGACTTATGTCGACCTCCGCCGTCGCTCGAGCTGCGGCTCTGGCCCGCCTTGGTGAGCCTTCTGCGGCGGCTGCCACTCGCGCCCACAAGCCTGGAGACACTCGCTGCCTTGCGTGGATGACCCCCTCCGGCGGCCACCGAACCTCAAATTCCAGAGCTGTGTCGCAACAGCACGAGGCCCATTGAGCTCTGCCGGGATCGGCTCACCAGCAATGTCCGCGAAGCGCGGAAGGGCGCCGCTGCGGGACCGTCGGGATGCACAGGGGAGCACCTGCGGGCGCTGCTCGACGATGAAGACGGCGCGCAGCGGACTTGACGAGTGTGACGGAGCTGAGCCGCCGTTGGGCGACCTCCTGGCGGACGCGAGGGGCACAGAGAACGTGCCGCCGTGGCTGCCGCCTATCGGCCCAGGGTAGCAGACTTCGGATGAACCAGCATGCTGGCGCAAAAGTCCGGAGGAAAAAAAACACTAACCCGAAAATCTTGAGGTGGAAGGCTTGAGCTTGAGCCAAAATGGCTTGAGCCAAAATGGCTACGGTGAACGGTGCAATAATTGAATCCACTTCGTATACTATTTAGGTGCGTTGACTTGTCATCATTGAGTCATCACTCTTAGCTGGAACGATTATCCAGTTCATGTGGCGGCATCATCGTGCCTGACCCATGTGATGTACAAGGAGCTCTTCGCTCTTAGTTGCTGAAGGTAGTTCTGCCTGACTCAGGCCTGCTTAGGCTTGTCATGTAGCCTTCTCGTTCAAGAATCTGGTTCGTCCGCCTCCTTCCGTGTGCGGCTTCCGCTAATCCTGGCGCGCCCACGTGAAGCCGACCGCCGGGGACCACGACAGGAAGGTTGTCTGGTGGCCTTGGTGGTCATTGCTTTTGATTCCATCGGCGTTGTGCCCAGAAACTTTTCAGATTCCCTCTGCCCGCCCGCCCTGGTGGCGGTGGGCTCTGCTGAGCGCACGCTTGCTGCCACATTGCTCGGCGCGCCGCAGGTGCCACGCCCGGCGCGGCACGACGCGCCCCTCCCATGCCCAGCCGCTTGGCTTCGCGTCAGGAGAAAACAACAACGGCCCAACGTTCAATACACCCAGCAACCAGCAACTATGCAATCTTACATCCACGCCCTGAGCCCGAATACGTCACCGTTGAAGTTATAACAGCATATCCCCCCCCCCCGAAATAGGAATCTGGGGGGGGGGGGGCTCACTCTCCGCCGGGCCTAATTTCGACACTCCCCGGACGGACGGGGCCTATGTTTTAAAATAGGCCTGGGGACCATGAATGACGTGGCCCGTGAATCATCATGAATGACCTCTTTTTATTGCATATCAGTATTAATTGTCACGTTGAGTCATTGCAAGTCAAAGGAGAAAGAGAGAGAGAGAGAGAGAGAGAGTCGGAACGGGGGCGGGCGAAGACTCCCGGGGGTCCGCCCCCATGCCCCCAAGAAAGAAAGAAAGAAAGAGAGAGAGAGGGAGGGAGGGAGGGAGGGAGTGAGGGAGCGAGGGAGGGAGGGAGGGAGGGAGGCAGGGAGGCAGGGAGGCAGGGAGGCAGGGAGGCGGAGGCAGCGAGGCAGCGAGGTTGCGAGGCAGGGAGGGAGGTGAATCCCCGTTCGGGCCTCTGCTCGGTGGCTTTGACAGGGACCTTTGCTGTTTCTGGTACGGGTCCCCATACTGTTTCTGGCAATCAGTGGCAAGCTCTGTCTTAAAAAATGCGCCCCGTCGAGCTATGTTCCTTTGTGGGTTATAAGAGAAAATTAAGGGGGAGTGCGTCCCCCCCCCCCCCCCATAGGGGCGCACGCTCAATGGCTTTGCCCGGTCTATTGGGTACACAGATTGCGTTCTCTCCTGCAAAAAAATACGCCCCGTCGAGACAGGTTGCGTGGTTTTGACAGAGAAAGTTTTTTCTAAGAAGGGAAGAGCTCACTGAGCCTTTGATGGGAGTGCCCCCCCCCCCCCCCCACCCCCCCACGGGGTACAGGTCCCTCGACTGTCTTTGGTACGGGCCCCATGCTGTCTCTGTAAGCCTTGAAATTCGCCCCTTCGAGCCGGGTTCCAATGCGGGTCAAAGGAGAAGGTAAGAGGGGAGAGTGCAAAGGCGAGCTCCAGCCTCTGTTCTTTGGTTTTTTCTGTCCTTGGCAAGCCTTGTTGAAGCCTAGAAATACGCCTCGTCGAGCTAGCTTCCTTTGTGGTTATCAGACAAAGTTAAGAGGGGAACCCCCTCCCCCCCCCATGGGGCGTGCTCCAGCCTGCTCAAGGTCCCTCTAAAGTCTCCGGGTCCCCATACTACTGTCTCTGGCAATTAATGGTAAGCTTTCTCCAAGCCTAGAAATACTCCCCCGAGCGAGGTTCCTTTCTGGATGTTCAGAGAAAGTCTGGCAATCAATGGCAAGCTCTAAGCCTAGAAATGCGCACGTCGAGCAAGGTTTCTTTCTAATCCTTTCTGTCTTGTCAGCGACAGTTAACCCCCTCAAGAAGACCTGGCCACCCACCGGTACTCTTACTCTTCCAGAGCATCGAAAAACAGGTGCGCCTTGAGTGGTGATTTCCCCATAACACTGAAACACAAATCATACCTCTGGAAGAGTCCCCCGACCCCCCCCCCCCCAAGGCATGATTTTTTTGAAATAGGCCTGGGCCTAGTTTGCCCCCCCCACTCA